GGTGATGGAGAGTGTATTCACGGACACTGGTATAGTTTTTGGAGAGGTGAAGGGAGAACAAGAGAATGCACAATTGATTATAAGGATATCACACTATATTTAAATTTCTTCGGAGGTGTATCTCTTATGAAGAGGAGAACAATTTAGGAGGTTGCATTTTGGAGGAAATTGAAGAAGGAATGCGTTTTTAAGGCTATATTCAAGCCTATAGAGGGTAAGAGTAAGGATTATAGATGTTTTGAAGTGGACACATGGTGGAGTTGTTTTTGCACTAGTTTGCACTAATTTTGTAAGTGCGTTTTTTTTTTTGGATTATATTAACATATTGTGGATAATGCACTATGTGCGGTTATATTTTTCTTTTTTCTGAGGGTTACAAGCGAATATGAAGGATTTATCACATGTGGAGGAAGAACACCGAATAAGAAGATCATATGTTTTGGTTCACACTAGTGGTGACATAGGACATTGAGACACCGAATTCAGACAGTTGACACCAGAAAAGTAAAGCTTGGTTCACACCTTTGCTTTTCATCCATTTTATAATGCTCTTTGCATTTTGTTTTGCATGTTTGCTGCATTTTGCATTTCTTTCAGCTTTCTTTTTTTCTGAAAGTGGAAATTTTTTTGTTGCTGCAAAAAAAAATTGCAAAATGAGGTAAAAGCGTGGCAAAAATACGTGAAAATGTGACAAAAATGCACTACATGCATATCAGCAGCTTTTCCATTGAACTCTAATGTAGCAAAAATGCTGCTTTTTGCATCTGAAAAAGTCCCTGACCGTTTCAAAAAAGAATAGATGCAAACATGTCCCATAGGAAATCATGTTAATTGGACTGTAGTGAGTTTCAGCAAAAAGCACTAAAAATGCATTGGTGTGAACCAGAGGTAACAGAGGAGAAATCTTCCAATGAGGACACTAGTTCTGGTGACCCTGGTGGCGCCCAGGGATTCACTGACTTTGGAGGAATTCTTTCTCACTGTCTGCTTTGGCTATGGGACAGAAAGTGAAGGGAAATCTCCCCTATAGGATACAGATATAAAAAAAAACCTGACAGGGGTTATAACCCTCCCTTACTCTATCCATAATGAAAAAAGTTGCCTTTAGTTATGCTTTAAGCCTTGAATAAAAATGATGTATAAAAATATGGGTAAGTAGAATGCTATCTGCTATCAGCTATGATGTCTGAGCAGGGGCGGACTGACAACTCATGGGGCCCCCATGCAATAGGGGATCATGGGGCCCCTGTGTCTTTGCTGGAACTCAAAAAAGCCTATGAAAAAGGTACCAGAGGCATCTCATGGGGCCCCCTACTGACCCCGGGCCCTCGGGCAGTGCCCGAGTTTCCAAATGGTCAGTCCGCCCCTGTGTCTGAGCCTCAAAAAAGTTATCCTATCGTAGGAGAACCTTACTCTAATTCCCCCTCTGCCTTTAGTGCTTATTCTGGGATGCAGCGAGGCTGGTGACCTACCATACCTTTTCCTATTTTTTTAAGGAGCAGCAATTTTGCAGTTATTCTTTTACATGCTATGACGCCATCCCTAATGATGGTTCCAGGAATAGGCCTACTGTGTTTAAACCCAGCCCTGATCACCTCTTTGCTCTACACATGTGCCTTAAGTATGCGTAGAAAAAGAGTTGTTCTTATTACCAATAGTGAACAGACTATTTTTAGATTTTAATATACTTTGCTTATGAAAAAGGCCAGCTGGTTCCTCCAGTGAGTAGAGAGCTGACCATCACAATAAACCTACTCATTTGTGCCACAGTATAGTGGCTCTATAGTGGCTCTCAGAGCATGCGCTCTCAGCACATATGTGTTTTCAAATAGTACGCAAATATGCGGCCGCTCAGCGTCAAGGCCCAGCCTCCGAGAAGCCGCTTATTTGCGTACGGTCGGCGTCAAAGGGTTAACAACTTAATATTCTTAATCAGGAACATCAGTCAGTCTAGTCCGGGTGTCGGCAACCCGCGGCTCCAGAGCCGCATGCGGCTCTTTTTCACCTTGGCTGCGGCTCCGGAGCACACTGCCCACCAGGTGACAGGCAATAGGGCAGCAATGGGCAAACTACGGCTCGGCGGACCTTTTAATCCGGCCCGCGGAGCTAGGCTCCCGCTAGGCTCCTCTCACAGTCCGCCCTGAAGACCGGTGTAGCATGAAAATCTGTCTCCTATGAGGATCTGTCCCCCTCGACGTATCTGCGCATGTGCCGGAGATCGCCGATCGGCTGCTAATGCCTGAAACTGGCACATGCGCAGATACGTCGAGGGGGACAGATCCTCATAGGAGACAGATATTCATGCTACACCGGAACGGCGCGGGAACGCGCGGAGCAAAGGTAAGTGAATTGACACAGGGGGGACTTGGGGACTTAATATGGGGGATGAATTAATATGGGGGATGAATTACTATAGGGGGGATGAATTACTATATGGGGGATGAATTACTATGGGGGATGAATTACTATATGGGGGATGAATTACTATGGGGGATGAATTACTATATGGGGGATTAATTACTATGGGGAATGAATTACTATGGGGGATGAATTACTATATGGGGGATGAATTACTATGGGGGATGAATTACTATATGGGGGATGAATTACTATGGGGGATGAATTACTATATGGGGGATTAATTACTATATGGGGGATGAATTACTATGGGGGATGAATTACTATGGGGGATGAATTACTATGGGGGATGAATTACTATATGGGGGATGAATTACTATATGGGGGATGAATTACTATGGGGGATGAATTACTATATGGGGGATGAATTACTATGGGGGATGAATTACTATATGGGGGATGTATTTTCAGTTTTAAAAATGTGGCTCTCAAAATAAATTTCAATCGTGGTTTTGGCGAGATTTGGCTCAGTTGAAAAAAAAGGTTGCCCACCACTGACCTAAGGCTATGATTGTGATTATGACGATACACTGTGGCCCTGATTAACCCTTTGCTTACTGGGCCCTTAAACCCCCTTCATGACCAGAGCGCTTTTTGCAATATATGCAGTGTCGGATTTGTTTTAAATGTTGCAATGGTTTTGCGGCTCCCAGTCTTTTTTTCCCTCTCGGAAACGGGTCCAAGTGGCTCTTTATGTCTTAAAGGTTGCAGACCCCTGGTCTAGTCAGTATTGGTAGGTGTTGACATACTGTCAGGGCCTGGACTTGAACCTGGGACTTCTACTGTGTCAGGCAGTAACTCTACTCACTGAGCTACCTGGGATGCTGGACAACACTTTGCCTCATCTATTGGATAATCCTGCCTTGTGCCTTGTTTGCTCTTGAACCTTGAACTCCTTGCTCCTCCCATGAACTTCCTATATAAGCCATGTCCTTGGACTTCCTCCTTGCCAGATTAGTGTGCCTTTCCAGCCAATATTCCTGCTACTGTTCCTGCTGCTGTCTACACCTCCGCTACTGACCTTTGGCTTGTTCCTGACCACGATTGATCTGCTACCATTTGTGACCGACCCTTGGCTTGTGACCGACTCTGCTTTCGTCTGATCCCTAACCTGTTGATCCGCTATTGGTTCCCAGTCTGCTCATTCCCTGGTGGGGTGATCCTGAGATCTGTGACCTGGTATTAACACGCAGCCCAATCCATCTCCACCATTAGGAGCTCTGGTGAATACCGGTTAATACTTAGACCCCGCACCTCAGGTGAGCCTGCGTCATTCCCAGGGGTATCCGCTGGTGTACCTATCCTGCTGGTTCCAGGTAAGCCTTTTACTGCTATAGCAACTGGTCTCTGAACCTGACCTTACACCGTGACACATACTCTGTACTGAATCTACATGTATATCAATAATATAAACTGAAAGAGTGACACTTCTGTGTGTCCAATTTTTTTTTTTTAACTCGGTTTCATTGAGTAAAAGGCACATTAGGTATACATGGCAACAATCAAGCAATCAGTATACAAAAACAGCACCGGATATCGGCATAAGATAAATGCATTCTCCAATAGAACATATGTAATATAAAATCACATACCCCATTATAAGTAGTAGAATCGTTGCAGTAGCATCTGATGCACATTAAGTACAGGTATAGATATGTAAGAAGCCATTTACTCATGGTTTTATATAACTCAGAACAAACCAATTGGCAGAAACATCCTGCACTTCAAAGAAAAGAAAAAAGGTACAAAAACAGAGAGAACTCAGCATTTACCCCAAAATAATAGGTTAGCAGAGAAAGTTCATTTTCCTATACCTGAGAAGGTAAGTAGGTCATTGGTCAAGGTAGCAATTAATAAAGAGATATAGATGTCCCAGTGCTGAGATTCAGATCTACATTAGGCCAGCAACATAACAGAATGATTCCTCATATGGGATCAGATATTGGGGATAATAAAGAGTCATTGGTATCCTGAGTATCAAGCCAAGGGCCCCAAAGATTATAAAACTTTTTGGGACATCCTCTAGCTTTATACGTCAATTTGTACAATGGTAAGGTATGTTAATAACCTTTTACCATAGCCCAATATGTAGTGTCTCCGTACGGGTCCAATTAAGTACAACCGTCTTGCGGGCATAATAAAGCAGAAGACGAAGGAAGTGTTTGGAAAAGGCCGACACTTCTAAATCTTCAAATATTCCCAACAGACACCATTTAGGACAACAAATATTAGGTAGGTTGAAGGTGTCTGCAATAAATGCCTTCACCTGTGACCAAAAGGTTGAATCCTCTTACATCCCCAAACCATATGTAGAAAGTCACCAGGCAGTGCGGTATCCCTAGGGTTGGTGTCACCCGGTGCGATAACACTTGGTGACACCCCTCTGACGATCCCCGCAGAATGGATCGCATCTGCGGATTGAGCATATTGGGTCGGACTCCGATCCATTATGCTCAATCCGCAGATCCGATCCATCCTGCGGGGATCGTCGGCTTGCTTTACAACTTACCTTTTTGTGGAGCAGGTCCGGTGTCACCCCGTGCAGTCGGTGTCACCCCCCGTGCGGACCGCACCCCCCGCACCTGCTTCAGGACACCACTGCTTTCACATTTATAACCAGGGGCGGACTGACCATTTGGAAACGCGGGCACTTCCCGAGGGCCCGTGGTCAGTAGGGGGCCCCATGAGATGCCCCTGGTACCTTTTTCATAGGCTTTTTTGAGTTTGGGCAAGGACACAGGGGCCCCATGATCCCTTATTGCCTGGAGGCCCCATGAGTTGTCAGTCCCCCTTGTTTATGACAGATGTGGCAGTGCGGTATCCTGCCACGTTGATAACCCAGGATTTTCAACTATACAGGTTGATTAGCTTCAGACAGTTCTCTTAATGCAGAGCAAACTGGTTTGTCAGTTTCCTCTTTGGTGTGTAAAGCCCGTTTCGGGACCTGGGGCCTGGAGATGTCTAAGTGATTTGGGAGGGATGAAATCTCCAATCCTGTGTCCATATTTTCAGAACCCCCAGCACACTGATTGCACAGGTGTGTGCAGGCCTTTTTGTAGAGGCCTAACCATGGTTCTGGGCTCCACCCCGGCAGACAGGAGGTCACTGCCCAGGAGTCAGGAGGGCTCCACCTAGGAGAGGTGGAAGCCAGAGCAGCAAGGGGCTGCTAGCTGTATGGAGAAAAAGCCATTTAGGAAGGAGTCTGCAGGACACGGCTGTGAGCCTGATGTGGAAGGCCAGAGCGGCATAAGTATGTGTACAAGTCAGGAGGCTAAATATTGTTTTTTTTAAGAGTGAAATGCTGAAAACCCCTGTGAGGGGAAATTTATGGAACTTTTCTTTTAAATAAAATTGAGCAAAAAGGCCCTTAAAAAGAAGAAACGAGTGGCTGTGTGCTTTAAAAACTCTACATTTGATGCTAGTTCTCACACAGATTGTTTCTCTTATGCATTTTAAACAAAGGGGCTAGGGTGTAGTACACCCTATGCATATAGCGGAATTGAATCAGCTTATCTTTAGCTGAAATTACTGTCCCCGAATGTGAATTAAACGACTCCTGACAATTTCGTAGCCGAGATCAGGGATATATCTCAACCATTTATTCTGAATCTTTAATAGGCGGGAGTCAGGTTTACCAATAAGAAAAGAGTAATAGGAGGATATCAACCCTGTATGGTCTGGACAAAGGAGAGTCCGTTCTGTGTGTTCAAATTTAAAAATACTAGTGGGTCCCTATAAAGGTAATTTTTCCGCTCAGCGTGGATTTCCAGGGAATACTAGAATCTATGTAATTAGAAAGATAGCAAAGTGCCTTCTAAGAAAGTCTTGTTATAGATCCCACTGAGACTTGTCTGTGTTTTGTAGCTTTCTGTTCATATTTTTGCATATTTACGTCTAGCTTTAGCAGTATAATTAGTCAAATTTAAATAAACTGCTGAAGATATTTTAGGATTTAATATGTTAACCCCTTGTTACAAAGGTAGAGCTCTAGTGTTGCATATCCAGTATATCAGATTTTAAACTGAGATTAGGAAAATGATTTTCCATTTTGATGATTGTAGAGTGATGAGCTTCTGCTGCTCCAGCTTTTAACATACCATGTGGCCCCAATACAAAAGGAAAAAAAAAAATCCCCTAGCATATATTCTTTTCATCTGGTGAACCTTCTAGATGTCTCAGGTCCAGAAAAGGGGTGACACAAGAAATCAGCAGGCAGAATTTCTTCTTTCCATTTTTGGGAGAAAACAAATTGAAATAAAAAAATCCTGTAAAAGTGGGAGTATTTGTAAATTGTCAATTATTACAATGTGAAACAAGCTTCAAATCAGTCTAATTTCCTTTAATGGTGACAGCAGAAAAGTTAATTTTAACAAACTGATAATGTCTTTCTATTTTCTTGCATTTTTTGCAGACAGCTTATTAAGTCCTGAGACTGAAAAATCTAAGAATAATGCAATTGTAACAAATGTACTAGGGGAAAAGAACAACATTTACGGTAAACCAAATTAAATGTCTCTGTCTCATTGATGCAGTGCAGTTCTTGAACAGGTTTTCAAGCCAGAAGATTTGAATGACCCTGTTATGATTGGCTGACATTTTTAGTAATGCACGATGGCCTCTGATGCTGCTCTGTCTCTCCATTACAAGTGGGCTGATCACATCTGAGACATGGCATCATCTCCAGCCTGGAGCTCCTGATGGAAGGAGACTCTGCCACAGTAGGGGGTCACTGAGACAAAGAATTGTCAGAATAAATCATTATTATTTTGCTTTTTAGATGATTTGCTAAACTTCTTCCAGCTGCATGTGAATGTGTTATAGACTGTACAGATGTTCCCTTTATGTATCAGTAAATCTCATGGAAAGCAGAATAGGCATGACAACATATCTAATACTGCTGCAGTCATTTTAATATGAAGTGATAACTTTTAGTTCTCATAAGCATAGGAAATAATGGGTGGGTTTTCTCTAAACCAAAGGGAAGCTGCCTAGCTAAGTAACCATATACAGTAAACATGGATCAGTAGCTTTCAGTATGATAATTTGTATATTTTATGAAAATTTTATAATTTCTAAGTTTTTATTTGCATATAGCACAGTTTGTATGTTCACACCTTTATCATAATAACTACTGAGTGATAGCTTAGGGTCATGAAGTTAGGATAAGTTAGATGGTTAGACTAGGCTATCCCCACTTCAGTCGATCCTGAATACGGCAGCCAGACTCATCCACCTTACCAACCGCTCTGTTTCCGCCCTTGCCACCCCCCTCTGCCAATCCCTCCACTGGCTTCGATTGCCCAACGGATCAAATTCAAACTGCTAACACTGATGTACAAAGCTGTCCATAATTCTGCCCCAAACTACATCACCGACCTAATATCGAAATACCACCCAAAACGCACTCTCCGCTCTTCACAAGACCTCCTTCTCTCTAGTTCCCTGATCTCCTCCTCCCATGCCCGCCTCCAGGACTTCCCCAGGGCATCACCCATCCTCTGGAACCCCCTACCCCAATCCATCAGACTATCACCCACTCTCCTCTCCTTTAGGCGCACCCTAAAAACCCACCTCTTCAGGGAAGCCTACCCCTCCCTCTGCTAATTGCTGATCTCCTCCACTCTTCCTACCACTCCATCCTCCCCAGCTTTTCCTCCTGTACCACTATCCCCTCCCTCCTAGATTGTAAGCTCCAAGGAGCAGGGCCCTCAAACCCCTCGTGTATCGCACTGTATTGTTATTGTACTGTCTCATGTATTGTCCCCCATTGTAATGTACAGCGCTGAGCGAACTGTTGGCGCTATATAAATACTGTATAATAATAATAATTTATGGGTAGATTGATTGTTCAAACACAAACCAGCCAAAATGTTTTGTTTTGGTGTTTGATAGAACAGGGGAAGGTTAGAGCCTCTCTTGGGTTATTATTTACATCCCTATTGGTGAGATATCCTTTTATTATAAAGCTTATTGCTACGCATGTTTTATTACTTCACTACACTCTTCCTTTGTCATAGTATAGTCATCTAAGCATAAAATAAATCCCCAACTTTGCATAAATTCTGCATTTTCATTGACTTTTCGGCCAGTGACATCAACAGTCACTGGCCAGAAAAAAAATCTCTTTTTTTTCTGTCACTTGGAGGAGGGTTAGTAGCACTCCCTAAATCACATCCTTTGTGTTACATAGGGAAAGCAGCAGAACATTTGCTAGGTAGCTTCAGATCAAACACAGAATTTTGTAGATCGCCTCTGGGCATTGAGGATGCTGAAGTGCAAATACAAGAACACTAGAATGGAGGGGGTAGGTCGAAGTAGGCAGAGCTGGGTGGAGCTAGGCACATGAATTCTTATTAATGAAAATCAACACACAACCATATCTTAACATACATTGTGGTGGAGAGGTGACAGGTCTTCCCAGCTCCATATAAAGCAGGCAAAAGGGAACTGATATCCAGGAGTCAGTATCCATAATGACTATGTCACCTTCAGGAGATGACCTTGTGTGGCCACAAAACATTGCCTTGTTTGACTAATGTGACATTGCCTAATAAATGAGATGTTGGTGACATCTCATTGTTTTACAGTGATTTTTCATGGCACCATCCTCTACAGTCAGTACAACCACCTATATACTGTTGAGGTTGAGGCCATATATTTAAAGGTATTCTAAACACACACTGTTTAATTTACATTGTCCTATCTCTTTCTTTTATGTGGATGATGGCACTGTAATTTTTTAATAAAAGTATGACCCAGCTCTAGTTCTCTGCTACTGGCCATATGTTCAAACTAAAAATAAAAAAACAGCCCTTGTAATACAGAGTAAATATAAATAATTATCAATAAATTGTTTTAAATTGTAATACAAATATATAATTGAAATCAAATCTTTATTATTTTTTGGCAATAACAAGGTGTGAGCAGATTTCTGCCAGTCACAGGCTGTGTCACATCCCTCCAGCCTGTGTCTTAGAATAAGAGTGAGGCGATTCCTCTATTAATTTACATGTAATATCCTTCTCTCCTTGTGTTTAGCTGGTTAGTGGGCATGAAGGAGGAGGGAGGGATTGGGCTGTGATTTACCACTGTGTATATGCTCACATGAGTGACTCTATAGGCACATGGGCTGCTCAGATGTGATAGGGAGGGAAATGCTCAGCATAGAAACTCACTGAAAACTGAGCATGTGCAGTAGCTGTCAACACTGTTTTGCAAAATCCCCAGGTGCATCAGGGACATGGACAGAAGGGGGAAATAGAGAATAGCAGGATTAACCAGGTTTTTTTGCAGAACACAGAAAAACAAATCCCATAGTGCCTGAGTGAGTATGAACAGCATGTAACACAGCATTTATTGATAGTTTTTTATGATGTGGGTTTAATAACAATTTAAAGTCTTCTCAACTATATCTAACTCAAAACAAAAACAAAGCTGGGCCCAAGAATATGCCTAATATGCTACACATACAACATCCTAATTTTATTGTTGTTCATTAGATCAGAATTAAACATATTAATAAAACCTATCTATGGGTAAAAGCAAAATGCCCATGCATTCCTCTTCCAATTCCACTCTCCCTTACTCAAACATTCTTAGATTGGAGATCAAGAGCTGCAGTCTCATCCCCCTGCCAATTGGTCCCTTCTTGTGATGTTATCATCTTCTGAAGCTTTAAAGGGTGACTTTTGCTTGACCATCAATAGGAAGTGGTGGGCGCTAGAAGAAGATTCAGATGTGCACCTCAAACAGACTGTGGTATATAAATAAATGAATAAGTAAGGTAAGCTGTGGTCTTTTAAGGTAAATAGTTATTTTATATAAAGGGGAATCCTTGTATATAAAAGTCCACAGGTGGATTGTAACTCCTAATAGGTAATAGTCCTGGAATATGGAGGTAGGATGACAGCCAGCTGTCAGAGCAAGAAGCGACTCTAGTGCACAGAAGGGAAGAAGTACACAGTGGCACCACTCTAAGTGTAGATGTGCATAAAACCAATGCACATCTACACTTAGAGTGGCACCACTGTGTTCTTCTTCCCTTCTTTATATCCCTAAGGACCCTTCCTCTCTGCAGTGAGAGAGAGAAAACTCGGGACCTGGCTTGTCATGTGACCGCAGATTTAGTTTAATAAAAGAGGAATTTAGCTATTTTTTAATTTTTTGCACCATGCAACAATTAGAGAAGATAAAGGGTATGGTTTGTTAGAGAAAGAATACCTATCTGGAACAAAGTTTAAAAGTGCATTTTTGTGTTTATTCTATGTAATAGCTATTTATTCAGGTTTATTTTGTATGTAATGCAGTATGTTATCTCATGTCAAAGTTTCTTGATGAAATCATTAGTGTATTCTATTGTCTTATTACAAAGCTTGAGGTGAACTCAGATCTACCGATCTGCATACGTTTCACAAATCTTTGCCTAAGTATTGAAGTAATTGGATTGTAGATTGTAAGCTCCAAGGAGCAGGGCCCTCCTAATCCTCTTGCATTGAACTGTATTGTTGCTGTATTGTCTCCCGTTATATTGTAAAGCGCTGAGCAAACTGTTGGCGCTATATAAATCCTGTATAATAATAATAATAGTGGAGTGCCCATTTACTTACCATACTCAGATGAAGCCTCAAGTCCCTCTAACCCCTTTTCCCATAATTGCCTAGGTCCCTGGACACACTCAAGGATGATAAACTCAGCTTCCCTCCCGCAGCAGCTTAAAAATGCCACATCTAATGAGGCAGAGGTAAGTGAGCAAATGATCCACAGCCTTGTGTAGAGGCACTCCACTGTCAGAACCAGTGTCTGGGCACCTGGGCAAGAGCCTACTAGCATGCAGCTTTTTTAAAAGACCCAACTACTGAGGGGAGTTCCTCCCTGATTGATAACAAAATACTCCAGTTCCAGTGGGGTGGGGCTCTGTGCTTGGGCCTTGGATCCTCCCAGCTATTTGTCTGTGTTACCAGACCCACCATGAATTTCACTAGGAAGGATGCTGTCTATGAGGATAACTGCAAGTAGTGGTTTTGGTTCTGTACTGTTTTACCGAAGTAAGCACGTTACTCTGAACTACAGAGACATTACTGTAAAGAGCCCATGTTTGTGCAGCTTTCATTATTCTGCAGTGCTTGCATGGTTTTTTTTGCTATCCTGAACCTGTTTTTCATGATTGCTTATAACTTTTACCTGATTAGTAAATTGCAAGTTACAGTTGCTCCCTGTCTGATCATTTGTTTGATTACCCACCATGTTAAAGGATCACCATAACACAACAGGCAATAACCACTTTTTCACATCAAGTTAGTAATGTCAGCCTCTATTTTCTCTCAGTATGGGCATCTTTTAGGGCCTTGTATTGACTGTCACTGTCACAAGCTGCTAGCAGACCCTTCAGGAAACTGTTGCACTGCTTGCAACGTGTTGAAGGTCTGCTGAAACCTACTAGCAGATTTTTAAAGTTCCAGTAACTCTTCCATGATCTGTACTAAACATCCCTAAACTGGAGCTGAAGGCTACTCTAAAGGGCTTAAAGCAGGGGTGTCAAACGGGTGGCCCTCCAGCTGTTGTGAAACTACAAGTCCCATCATGCCTCAGCCTTTGGGAGTCATGCTTAACTCTGTCAATCTTGCAATGCCTCATGGGACTTTTAGTTTGGCAGCAGCCTGAGGGCTGCCAGTTTGACACCCATGACTTAAAGAAGGCTGTTTGAAGCTTGCTGAAAGCCTTGAATAAACTTTCTGTATACCCTGTTCTTATACAAGTTGTCACCTTTGTGTCAAGAGCTTACCAAACACCCTATGCATTTACATTCAACAAACACTTGACAGAGTTCTTGATGGCTATCAGCAATTAGCTATTTAAACCATCTCTAGAAAATGCTTTCCAAATGCCTATATAGCTTTTGAGAAGCATTCCCACTGACCTCTATTAAAGATGTTAAGAAATGTCCACTGACTTCAACACCTGTCAAAAATGCCTTGCATCCAAATCAGCACATGAAGCAACATAAATGCTTGCCTTAGATGTAAATGTGTACACATTCACTTACATTTGCAATGTTAAGCAAAGCATATTGGAAACATTGTAAATACTTATATAACATTGATGTGAACGGGTCCTTATGGCTAGCCATGCGTGTAATTAAATCCCACAGTTAAGACCACCACCTATAAATTACTGAGGTTACTTGCAAAGCATGTTGGTTTTCTTACAGGATAGGTTTGTAAAATACTGATGAATGCCACAGTGATGCCAACCCCACCACAAAGGAAACCATTTGCAACTCAGTCTCAGAAAAGCAGCAACCTTTACACGTTGTAATCATGATTTTCCAAGCCAGGCACATATATTTGAAGTAAAAAAAACCAGGATGTGTCTGGCCACTCACTCTGTCACAGCTCAGCAAGTCGCAACTACGAAGAAGACACATTAATCTCCAATGATGCAATAGAAGCTTACATTATTTTCTCCATGTAAGCTGTGCTGTCAATCAGCTTGATGCAGTGAGCACAGGCACACATTTTCAGTGGTATTAGTCTCAGGATGGCATATTGAGTTTTTTTCCCATTGCAACTGACTATATTTAGTGAAAACAATATTTTTTTTTTTTCACTAGAATAAAGTTCTTCCTTAAACGGGTCACCGGGTTCTCTTACAAATTTCTATCTTGCAAATATTATTTTAGTACAGGGGATGTAGCATCTATTTCCTCTAATAACAATTTCAGGAATTCAGTTATACAAAGGTATAGTTAATGTTTTGTCCCACATATTCACTGTTTGCTGAATGTTTGTTCATGTCCAAAGTACATCTTTGATGACTGGTCATTGTGGTGCCAATTGTTATAACCACCAGATCAATGCTTGTTTCTGTAGTAGTCTTCAAAGCAGAGAGTGATATAATGGAAATTGTGATTGTTCAGAGCAATCTATACCTACTACACGTTAAATATGTATAAAAACATTGATCCCAATGGAAAGAAGTGAACTCAATTAGATTTCTAAAGATCTGCAATCTGCTCATAACTCATAATGGCTAGATTAGTGAACTCAACTCAAATTAAATTCTTCCTGCATCACCTGATTCATGGAGCATGTACTGACATATTAGAAATATTTCAGTAGATCAGTGCATTTTTTCATCTAATACTCATATACTGTAGGTTCAAATAATCTGCATGATGAGGATTTGTTTGTATACCATGTCTGGCATTAAAAAAATAAATCACAAATAAGTGTTACGCCTTGTTTACAGCGACACATTACATATAGTGGTGGATTGGTGTACTAGGAGAGCTCTTGTAGTGACTACAATGGACAGTGGCATATACAATCCAGATCACCAAAATTAAAATTCACTAGCACTCCAACAAATCTGTTTCAACAGTTTATTGTGAAAACTTAAAGTGTTACGAAAGCCACAACAGAAAAATAAGTCTATATATGCAGTAAAGCATGCTTGTTAAGGGGTTTATCCTCTGCATTGTGTAAAAAGGATGTTTGATCTTGTATTCTCTGATCCTCCCCTTCTTCCACAGTCCCCAATCCATTTGCTGATAGAACAGAGCATTGCGGGCAAGTGGCACATGCTCATTTTGGTGTGTATTGCTAAAGAGTTTTTTTTTTCCTGGGAGAGTGAATGTGATCAGCTCAGGGCCAATCAGATCTGTCGAGACAGAGGGTCAAGGGTCCTGCAGCCTCCTAGGAGAATCGGGGGAGAATGAAAACTCCTCCTACAAGCTGTATTCATTGCTTTGCTGGACACTGATTGAAGTCAAAAGACTGCTTTAACTGCTGATGAGAAAAGGTATTTAGGATTTTTATATTTACTAAAATAATTGCATTTCCATGTTTTGTGTTCTGTGGGAGACTGGATATAGTGAATGCAGGGTCCTGGGTTTAGTAACACTTTAAAGTCTCATAGATCAAATAGACAAGGTTTCGGGTCCACGCAAGTTCCCTTCCTCAGGGTTACTTGGTGACCCACTGAGTTCTCCCGAGAAACAGGAAGCTGCATGGTCAGAAACAGGGGCGGACTGACCATTTGGAAACTCGGGCACTGACCGAGGGCCCGGGGTCAGTAGGGGGCCCCATGAGATGCCCCTGGTACCTTTTTCATAGGCTTTTTTGAGTTTGGGCAAGGACACAGGGGCCCCATGATCCCCAATTGCCCGGGGGCCCCATGAGTTGTCAGTCCGCCCCTGGTCAGAAACATTGTTTTTTTTTAACTGTTAAAACGTGATTTGTTGGAGTGCTGATGACGTCTTACTTCCTTATAATTAAATGTAATATTGTTCAATGCATTTCTAGCTATGAAATCAGAAAGCACACAGGCAATTCAGGGCCATACACTGCCTAGATTAGTGTATTTCTGCAGTCAGTGGATACAGGTGTTTCTGATCAGCTGCAGGCAGGAAACCTGTACAAATCAACAGGCTGACACTGCCAGCGACTGTTCCTATATTTAATTGCTCATACAGCAATTCCCTGCTGCTTGGGATGAATATCTGTTTCCAGGGTGCATTGCCATCCCTAATCACAGGTAACTACTCCGTGTGCAATTACATGTGGACAATGTCTGCTGCAGAAATAAGCATATTGACCATGTGCATGATACTTAGCATACTATGTAATGCATTTTAACCTTTATGTAAATTTCAAGTAGCCCTGTACTCTATTTTAAACTTGTTTACTATCTCGTTTTGCCAGAAAAATCTTTTATGTGTCCCTCTCTGATTCAGTTTCACTTTTATTGCCTTTAAACCTGTAAAATGCAGTACAGGTATGCTTTAAAAAGGCTCTGTCACTTTAGGTAAACCAAAGTTGATGACAGGTATGACATTCAGCATCTCTTAGGCTACGTTCACACTAGCCTTGTGTGCAGGCGGCAGAGAGGCGTTTGGGAAGCGTTTTTACCGCTTCCCAAACGCCTCTGCCAATTCTGCACATTACAGCACATGGTGCTGTTCTAACAGGAGCGTTTGCGTCGCGTCGCGTTGCGTCGCGGCAAAACGGACACCTCTGGTCGAGTCAGGAGGCTTTGAAGCCTCCTATTCTCGTCTATGGTGCCGCTCCGCAAACGCCCGGCCGGCGTTTTGCGGTGCGGTTGCGACACGGTTGCGGGGCGTTTGCGGAGCGGTAACACCACTCAAATGCATTATAGGTGTTTGTGGGGCGTTATTAACGCTCGGCAAACGCCTAGCAACCGCCGCTAAACCGCGCATGCGGCGTTTGCGGAGCGTTTAAAACGCTCCGCAAACACCGGACCAACGCTTGCCAAACGCTATAGGGGCGTTTGGCAAGCGTTGGCAAAACAGCCTAGTGTGAACGAGCCCTTACTTCGCCTGAATGCTGGGCCAATAGAAATGTGAGAAAGAGGCGCTTAGAGGTAAGCTCTGTCCCTACCTAAAGTAGTCAGAGCTTTCCCCTCCTAGACACCAATGTAATTCCTCTTGCTATACATTGTCACGGGACAAATCATACAGTTGCGAATGGGGCTATCTAACTTACTTTGAAAATTTTATGGGAAATATCAACTCACTGGAAAAGATGCTTGAAAAAATTGAGTGGAATAGAAGAGGAGGTCCAGCAGTAAAGATGGCTGGATACAGTCTTAGAAAGTATGAAAATAACACTGTAGAGACTGACAACTGAAACAGAAGACAGAAAATCCTGGCAAAACACTGCCTGTGTGGTTGCCAGGTATCCTCATCAATTTGATGGCAATAATAATAATAAATAAATGTAACCCATTGAAATGCTACTACTTGCAATACACAAAAGTGGACGTCAGACGGCGGTGGCCTGCTATTCAGGGTTACTCACATTGACAGAAAAGCTTTCTGGAACTTGTATTTCTGAACAGCAGGACTTGGCTGATAAGCAGAGTGCCTAGGACTACATTTCCCAGGAGAGGTAGCGTGTGGGTGGGCACAAGGGCGGACTGACCATTTGGGCTCTCGGGCACTGCCCGAGGGCCCAGGGTCAGTAGGGGGCCCCATGAGATGCCCCTGGTACCTTTCATAGGCTTTTTTGGGTGTGGTTTGAGTGTGGGCGAGGACACAGGGGCCCCATGATCTATTATTGCACGGGGGCCCCATGAGTTGTCAGTCCAACCCTGGGTGGGCATATAAATATCAAAGCCCGGGAGATTGGCAGGGAGACTGCGAAGGGAGATTGAAGGGAAGGAGGTGTGCTGATGGCAGAAGACTGCGGAGCCAGGATTTGAGAGAGCAGAAAGAACTCACTGACCGCCCGGGTTGCCATGCTGTTAAGCAGGCCACTCTGACAGCAGGAGATAGAGCGGGATGCCTAGTCTGAACCAGAGGGCCCGTGGACTGTCTCTATCCATCGGGAAAAGATGGATCGCGGTAACCTGCCAAACCACCTTGATCGGGTGAGAGAGACCCATGCATCCACTAAGTGAACATTGATAGTTTATCACATAGTTGTGAACATTACATACAGTTGCCCCAGTTTTCAGCCTAGTTATACCAGCGCCATTGTTAGAATATATCTGCAGTACAGTTATCATCAAGCTGACCGCAGGACATACAGTTACAGACCAAGATACAACAGAGCCAACTAAATCAACAAGTCCATTTCTCTCTCTACAGAGCAGGATTCCTACTACTGTTCACCTTTTGCCTTTGACATTCAGAGGGAGTTGTCTCTGTCCACAGACATTTATGCCTATTGTTGCTATTTACTACTTCAAGCTCAATTCATGGTTAGAGCTCTTGAAAGGAACCTTGCACTAATTCTTTACCATCAATCAGGGAAGTGTTGAATCTTCTCATTTTCCCTCACTATCTTTAATGTGACCACCCTGAGGAACTATCATCCCCCCTTTGATGCAACTTCACACCAACTTGGCCCCAACAGGTGCGCAGAAGACATTATAGAGGTTTTAAAGGAGATAAAACTGGACAGAAGGGGGCGCCAATATGAGTGTAGAGGGTTCATAATTTATTAGTAACATAAGGTATGAAAACTACTCACAAACGTAAGAAGTTAAAAACCATAGTAAAATTAGCTCTGAAGAAGAAGCAAGTGCTTCAAAACGCATCACCTGACTTTTTCCTGCTCTGTCATTGGTCGCCCGCTGGGTCCGGACTTCCTTGCGGTCCACGCTGGTTTCTGCACCATTTTCAAAAACTCTTTGCACCACTGACAGCTGACTGCTCCATCTCCATTCATCCCAAATGACCAGGACCCATTAACACATCGCTGGCTGACTGTCAGCTTACCAAAGGATTACTTTTACTATGCCTTTTAACGTCTTGCGTTTATGAGTAGTTTTCCTACCTTATGTTACTAACAAATTATTAACCCTCTACACTCAGATTGGCGCCCCTTTCTATCTGGTTTTATCTCCTGCAGAGTACTGCTTCGCTCTATCGGGAGCTGCCTTCGCCTACCATACTCTACCTAGGATCCCTGGATTATGGACTTTTATCTCTTGTTTGTCATTTTTCGTCATATTACCATTACTATTGGTTTTACTATTATTGTTATATTTTTGTATATTTTTTATTTCTTCTTTTTTTATTCACATTGATCATCAACCATATTAAGATATTTAGACGTGGGGTCCCCCCCCCCCAGCGCCGATTTGTTCTTTTTTTCTTTAAAGGAAACACTACCAATTATAACTGAGCATTCTCTCTATTTCACATTTCATCCTTGTTATCTGGTTCTGAGGACCAACGGTGAGCTTACCTGTTATTGATAGTCATTTCTGCTCACTGGGGATTCAGAGTGATCATATTTGCTGCCAATACCAGTGTTATTTTGTTATTCTTGACTCAGTTACCCCCAAATCCAATATAAACTTCACTTTGGTTTATACTGCTCTGTGTGTGAATCCATTTTACAGGTGTGATTTAACTGGGTCACCAGAGCACGGTGGTGTCAGCAGAGGTTGGGCTTTCAATGAGAGGTCCAGATTGACAGGGAACCCAAATAATTACTCAGAAATCCCTAAGGGGGTAGTGCTACATAAAAAAATGCAGTTTGAAAAAGTGAAAGAGTAAATTATTATTTTTTTTTTTTTGTAGAGGACTGGCCAGATAGATAAAAGCACTACTGCAACTATGTATATGTGTAATAATACTGGCAGTGTGGAACATTGGCATGTAGCATGGAGGGAGTGAAGTAAAGGTAAGTGTCTAGGCCATGGCACCCAACTTGTCAGAAAAGGCTATGGTTAAGGCTGGCCATACATTATACAATTTTCTGTCCAATTTCCTTTAGATTTACCTTCAGCTCTGTAGTGTAAGGGCCTGCCTGATTGCATACAACTGAAAAGTTGTTTAGGTTTGACCCTCCTTTTATATGGTTTGTGCTAAATCTAAAGCAAAATTCTCAAGAAAATTGTATAATGTATGGTCAGCCTTATGCAGGCCATAGATGGGGAGAAAACCGGCCGATTTTTCTTTAAAAAAATGAAAAATCGGTCGTTCAAGCGGCCGACGTTACCAGGAACGGTAAAAAAAATCTGCTGATTTTCATCCCATCTACAGCCGGCAAAAAGTGTCCCTGCAGAGAGCTCCACTATTTCTTTGACAGTTCCTTGACATTTATAGCGGTTGCAACAATGTATCTATTTGTATTCATTTTGGATACAGATGTTTTTATTCGGAAACAAATAGATACATTGTTGCACTTTTTGCTGGACTGGAATTCTTCTTCTTCATCCTCTTCTTCATCTTCTTCATCCTCTTCTTCATCTTCTTCTTCATCTTCTTCTTCTTCTTTCCTCTTCCTCTTCTTCTTCTTCTCTTCTTTTTTCTTCCTCTTGCAGGTCACTGCTCATGCGCAGATTTTTTTATCGGTAAAAAAGATCGGCCGATTTGCCCATAATTGCCGCGAAAAACGGCCGATCGGCAAAATCGGCCGATCTTTTTCCAACTTTACCGATAAAAAAAAATCTGCCGAAAAACGGTCGAACAATTAGCCCGCTAACTATCCGAAAATCGGCCAATTTTATTTTCGGCCGAAAAATCGGCCGATTTTCGACCCATCTATGGCCTGCATTAGTCATACAAGTAGGGAAAAAAAAGCATATACATTTTTGCATAGCAAGACCACAGAGCTCACACTGCAAAACATTGATTATCAAACATGCAGCTGAAATTGCATGCCAATCTAGTACTTGGCGATATAATCTGCTGTTATCTGGGCTGTGTGTGATGTACTAATAACTTTCCTTGGATGGAATTATACTCTTACATAGAGGAAAAATTCACTTTCACACCCAGGCAGGTCACCATGGAGCAGACTCAATGATGTTTTCTATTATTAGAACTGCAACATAAGAAAATGGCTGACATCACCCTTACCGTAAGTCTGCTGTATCACATCCCAAATCCCAAGATGACTAAGACTTTCGAGTGAAAACAATATGCAAACCAACTATAATGGCTGATACAGCAAAACATGTCTTAGTGTGCATATATATATATATATATATACACATATACACACACACTGTATATATAGGCTGAAAATAGGATATATTTATGCACAATGACAATGGATGTTTTTTGATTGCACTGTAGCAGGGCAAGAAATGAAGTATTCAGCAGAGACCATAGTTTTTTGGTAAGAATATTAACTATTTGAATTTTTAAATTACAATCTACGTGTGCTTTAAAAACCCCCCCCATTTATTTCAAAGACTACGCCTATTTTATTGAAGACGTCCATGCTAACAGGTTTCCTAGAGATACCAAATTTCCATCTCTTTCTCTCTCTCGCAGCTTCCCATCAGAATGACCATTTTCCTTCCCATAAAATGTGGGATTAATTATACACCTGCTAGTATTAACCTCCTAATTACTCCTAATTAAGTCCTCCAAACACTTGAGAGGTTAATCAGGAACAAGGTCAGCTGTTGTGGTCACACTCCATTCCTTTTTTCAGCTGCTTCATTCACTGCAGCTGGCGTTACAAGTCACATCCTTAGGGCGATGTCAGATGGATGCTTTCAGTGCCACATCTGACTTAATTGAAAGTGCAGTTGCGTTTGTTACAGAATAATCTGCCAGCATAGTTATGGCTTACATGGCTTCCTGTGAAAATGTTAGTAAGATTCCCACCATGAAAAAAGGAAATCTTGCTTACTGTACTCGTATTGTTGTTACTGCTGTTATCCAGCAAGTCTGGTTGATTGGTTATCAGCAGAATAAGGCAACCAAGTACTGCAGATAAACTGCAATAAACACTGAGCTGTCACACAAATCAATCAGGCCAAGTCGTGCAGTGAAGTGCATGGCAGGGGCGGACTGAAAACTCATGGGGCCCCCGGGCAATAGGGGATCATGGGGCCCCTGTGTCCTTGCCCAAACTCAAAAAAGCCTATGAAAAAGGTACCAGGGGCATCTCATGGGGCCCCCTACTGACCCTGGGCCCTCGGGCAGTCCCTGGTGCATGGTGTATTTTGAGGCCCTTACTCTTTCCAAAACTAAAAAAAAAATTGTCTTCAGTTACACTTTAACCACTTCCATACAGGGCACCTTTACCCCCTTCCTGCCCAGGCCAATTTTCAGGTTTCAGCACTTTGAATGACAATTGCACAGCCATGCAACACTGTACCCAAACTAAATTGTTATCATATTTTTCACACAACTAGAGCTTTCTTTTGGTGGTATTTAATCACCACTGGGGTTTTTATTTTTTGCTAAATTAACAAAAAATGACCGTAAATTTTGTTTCTGTTATAAACGTTTGCAAATAAATTGTTCTTCATAAATTTAAGCCAAGATGTATTCTGCTACATTTCTTTGGTGAAAATAACCCAAAGCAGTATTTATTATTTAGTCTGTAGGAAAGTTATAGAGCTCATAAACTATGGGATACATCTGAAAATTGATCAATCCTGAAGGACCGACAGCCAATCTAATTTCTTGAGGCCCAAAAATGTCAGAACAGTACAGAAATCCCCCAAATGACCCCTTTTTGCAAAGTAGACCATCCGATGTATTTCATAAGAGGCATGGCAAGTTTTTTGAAGTTGCAATTTTTTTGTCATTTTTTGGAAAATTAAGAAATTAAAAAAAAGTTCACAAATTTTTTTTTTTTACATACGGTCACCAGTGCAGTACAGCGTCATCATATAACTGGTGTGCTGGGGATCAGTGACACTGACTGGTGACAGTACGAAAAAAACAAAAATTTTATAATTTTTTCATTTTTTTTTTCTATTTTTAAATTATTTTTATAGATAAAATAGATAATAAATATTTTTTTTTTCATATTACACTATGCCCAACATAGTATAATGTTACCATAGTAGCATTATACTACTTTGGGGAAGTGATCAGTTTTTTTTTTTTTTTTTTCTACACAATTTGACTGCTTATAGCAAAGAATTTCTTTGCTATAAGGAAGCATTTAACTGAATGAAATTGATTCATTCAGTTTTTTTGTTGTGATTGGCCACGGCTAATCACATGACACAGATGGGCAGTGATTGGCCCAGCCTGTGCATGTGATCACTGTGACCATTCACAGCTAGACACACTTGTATACAATGAATGGCATGAAAGGAAGCCATCCATTGTATACAACTGTCATGTGGCCTGCTGTGATTGGTCATAGCAGGTCACTTTGTACTGGCAACGAGGCCGGTACACAGATCTGTCATCGGCCGTGCTCGAGGTACAGAGCCGGTGACAGATCTGCCCTGTAGGCAAGCGCATTGCGCGATCCGGGAAAGACATCATATGACACCCTCCCGGAGGGACGAGAGGATTGCCTGGCCGTCATATTACTATAGGGCAAGAAGTGGTTAATTAATTAATGAAAGATGATTTCATATCAGCTTGCTGAGCTGTATTCTGCTGTGATATTTTGTGAAAGTTTGGAAAGGAAAGCATGGGAGTTTACTGGAATGAGGAATGAGGAATAAGGCAAATAATATTGCCTCTTCCTTTACCACTTACACGAAGGTTCTGATCAGGTCTGCCTACCAGTTTTTCAGACGATTGGCCCCTATCTTCACCCCTATGGACAGGCCGGTGTAAACAGACTTATGTCCATTCAAACCCTCAGCAGAGAACAGAGATTATCTGATCTCTTGTAGCAAAGGAATAAAAAGGTATTTACAATGTTTATTATATGTACACACACGTTTTGCCTTTCTTTTCTATTTTAAACTGAATGGATTGTTTTACGAGGTGAGGGTCCAACTATAATTTAAGTGTTAAGTCTAAAGGTCTCATGTATACTGCAGCTGATAAACGCACATTTAGGAGCTGTTCAGCATTATTTTCAGCAGCCCCTGAACTCACCCTAATGTTTTCCTATGTGTTCATGTACACATCTTCTTTTACAGTCTTTTACAGGCATTTGAGTTTACAGTCATTTTTTTGAACACAGAAAACTTGCATTCAGCAGTCAGCAAACGCGGCAAATCATGTTTATAAGCGTTTACGTCTGAAATTTGTTTTTAACTCTTCCAGTTCCCGATACTGTCCAGAACCTTTTTTCATCATGAAAAACGCATGCAAAGCGTTTCAAGGTACTCAGATGGACAAAACACTGAACACAGGATCTTCCTACTAAGCTTGTCACACTTCATAATGACCAATTCATACCTCAGACCTCTCCCACCTTGGAAACAAAAGATATGTTAATGACCATTCACACCTCAAATTCCTCATGAAGACCCCCTGCCAGGTGGCCTTAATGACTCACTCCACCAGACACCTTTCCCACCCTTGCAAACAAAAAAAAAAAGAAATGTTAATGAGCAACTCACACCTAAGCTAATCTCAACACATACTGCTCTCTCTGCTTCTACTCTCTGTATTTCTCTGAAACAGTCTGAAATAGTTACTAATTTGCCACTTTTCAGTGCATTCTGGGCATTTGGGAGGTTCTCCTGTGCTTATCTTTAACAAATGCTTCTAAACGCAAACGCACATAAATGCGCATAAACGAGTAATGCAAACACGGCTAAACAGACGTTTTTTAACCTACGTTTTCGAGCAGTCAGTTTCCATCATTCAGAAGTGTACCGTGTACCTGGGGCCTTAGAAAAAGATAATAAATGGTTTGTAGTCTGGAGGAAAAAATGTGCATTTGTTATGTTTTTATTTCACATGAGCCTACAAAGCATTGCACCCACAATCAGTGAATAGCAAGTGCAATTTCACGCTTCCTCCAGCTCCTTGTCTGTACCACTGGATGGGCTTTCAGTTGAAGAGCTGGAGGAAATGTCAATGGACTACAAGTGTAGTGACATCACCAAGCATGTTTTCCATTGAGAACTACTGTATGTGGTGGCAGATGTGACTTGTAGTTCATTCAATCACAGATCTCAGAGAATGAAGCAACTGTGCATTTGGAGCCCTGCACAGCCTTGATGATATCAAATGTGACAGCTGCCATGGGGAAGAAGAACCCCCACATGCTGTCAGAGGATTTTGCAGCTAAAAAACTCCTCTAGAAACCCACTAGTCTTGGGGTTTTTTCCAGTCAAAAAACGTCCCAGCCAAAAAAAAAACGTTGATTACAATCTATGTGTGCATGGACACATAGGATAACATGCTGGGGTATTTACTGGCTGTAGAAAAAAATGCAGCTGCAAAAACGTCCAGTGTGCATGATGACTTATTGTTTGCCCACTCTTTTTTTAGCAAGGTTACCACCCCCAGCAGGTCACACCATATAAATAGGGCTCACTAAGTGCCCTGGGAGGTCTTGAGAAATACTGACAAGATGTAGACAGGGATGCATGCATGGTGTATCCAAAGAACAGGGCTTACATCAGGGGACTGGAGAGTTAGAGATTTGCAGTACCTAGAGTCCAGCATGTAGCATGCTGTCTAGGGTAGGCTATATTGCCATTGCTAGGGACAACCGTGTTTGTATCATTTGCTAAAGGAAGCCAACCATCCAGGGAACGGGTGATCAGCAAGGGTGACAGCTATTCTGGTGGTGAAGGGGTGTTATCAGTGGTGTATTTAGGTTTTGTGCTGCCCTAGGCAACACAAAAATTGGACACCCCCCTCCCCCCCCTTCATGGCAAAGAGAGCCTGACACCAACCAACAACACCCCTGCCCCATCCCCCCCACCCGAGAGAGCCTTCCACTAACACCAAACACCCCCCCCCCCCCCCCCCGCAAAAGATAGAAATACACCTTCACACCTCTGGACACTAAATCTGGCTCTGCACACACCATCAAGCAGCCCACAGCCTCTCTTGGATCACACCTGGTCCCCATGCCGCATATGTCCCTTCTTCCAGGGGGTAGTGTTGCCCCCCTAAAAAATGCTGCCGTTGGCAAATGCCTTGTTTGCCTTGTGGTAAATACGCCCCTGGGTGTTATGCTGTACTTGTCCTTGCAGCACAGAATGCTTAGGGACCTAGCCGGGAGTCATGCTGGGAGTCATGGGAGACAGTGAGATATAAGAGGTCCCTACATACCGGGACTGTCCTTGTAGCACAGAATGCCTAGGGACTTAGCTGGGAGTCACGGGAGACAGTGAGATATATGAGGTCCCTTGACAGAGTCACAGGAGACAGTAGGATATGAAGTCCTTACATACCAACTGTCCTTGCAGCACAGAATACCTAGGGACTTAGCCGGGAGTCACGGGAGACAGTGAGATATATGAGGTCCCTACATACCGGGACTGTCCTTGCAGCACAGAATGCCTAGGGACTTAGCTGGAAGTCATGGGAGACAGTGAGATATATGAGGTTCCTTCACAGAGTCACAGGAGACAGTGAGATATATGAGGTCCTTACATACCGGACTGTCCTTGCAGCACAGAATGCCTAGGGACCTAGCCGGAAGTCACGGGAGACAGTGAGATATATGAGGTCCCTTGACAGAGAGAACAAGTATGTAGTTATAGTGAAGTGTGTTTCCTGCATCCAGTAACAACAATTGAACATGTCACAAGCAGTGAGGTAACTGGGATTGCCGTGTTGGTGAAGACCTGTACAAACTGCAGCACCGGTTCCTAAATACTTCACACCTGGGGAGTGGTGTTCCCTAATAAGTAACTGTATCCAGAGTGCTTAAAGCGATACTAAAGGCTTACCTTTTTTTTTTTTTCTAAAAATAACAAACATGCTATACTTACCTGCTATGTGTAGTAGTTTTGCACAGAGCAGCTTGGATCCTCATCTTCTTGGGTCCCTCGCCGGCTCTCCTGGACCTTCCCTCCTATTGGGTGCCCCAACAGCAAGCAACTCGCTATGGGGGCACCCGTTGCTCCATGTGTCCATTCACACACGGAACCGCGGCTCAGCCCTGCCCCCTCTCTTCTCATTGGCTCACTGGTTGTGATTGACAGCGGTGGCAGCCAATGGCCCCCCTTCTGGCTCAGCCAATGAGGAGAGGGAGTCTCGGGATAGCTGAGACTCCAGTGTACATTGCTGGATCAAGAGGGGGC